ACCAGGCTTCTAGTTTATAAATAAATGTTGACTCGTGCATGTGCAATATTTGTCCCCGTCTGACACTGGCCTCCCATTTAAGTTAATTCAAAGACAGTTTCCCATGATGCCAGCATTTGCGATGACTATTAATAAATCACAAGGACAAACTCTAGACAGAGTAGGAATATTCCTACCTGAATTCGTTTTCAGACACGGTCAATTATATGTTGCTTTCTCTTGAGTTCAAAGAGTATGTGACATTAAAGTTGAAGTTGTAAATACTTCATCACAAGAAAAATTATTCAAGCACTCTGAAAGTGTTTTTACTCTTAATGTGGTATACAGTGAGATATTAGAATAAGTTAAATCAATTTATCAGTCATTGTATCAGTGTTGTTTTTATATCATGTTTTGGTTGTTTTTATACCATGTTTTTATTGTTTTTACATCATGTCTTTGTTGTTGTTATATCATGTTGTTATTGCTTATTTATTAATAAATTTATATATTATTTTTCAAATACATTTTACTAATTTTCTTTCATCTCTAACACTTCTATTATAGAGAAAGGGTGAATAGCGAAATTAAAATATTTCTTCTAATTAATTTCTTTTCAATGTGCACGAATCCAGCCACTAGTATACAATAAAACTACAAAGTCAACTTGGGGGATATATTTAGAATTACAGAATTCCACTTTTAAAAACCTATTATGAGTAATTGACATTTTAAGGTTATATAGAAACACATGCTCTCTAAAAGAGGAGGAAATGGAAGAGGACTGACATTTATTAAATGTTTGTAGTATCTCCTTTTATCCCCGTAACAAATGAATGTGTGAGTGATAGTACTCTGATTTTACAATCTTAGATTTATTAAATACCCTTTCCCAAGGGTACATGATTAGTAAGTGCAATTTACATTCTAACTTAATCAAAGGTCATGTGTTCTAGTGTGAAATGTCATTCCATCTCTAGAAGCTAAATGAAGAGGGAAGGTGGGAGAAATGTGTGTATAAATAGTATAAAGAGAGGAATTATTTCACTGAGCACTGAAAGAGTTTGTATCATAAAGAAAATACTATGAAACATGAAAATAGGAAAAGTGACATGTAAAGAAATAAGCAGTAATACATTTGGGTAGGAAATCTGCTTTTAATATAACTTCAACTTGATTTAGTTATATTTACACTGTGCTCTGAATTATTATCTACAGGCAAAGTCATCCAGAAAATTAAGGGAGGCATATTTGATAAACATAAAAAATAAAATTTTGACAGAATAAAATAAACAACATTTAGTAATTACATTAAGCATGTTTTCAATCCCATAGTAAGCTATTTAAAATAGAACAACTGTTCAAAGCATGCTGCCAAATGTCTTCAAAATGACTTGTTATGAAATGTTGACTAAATATCCCAAAACTCTATATCAACTTTAGTATAATTAAACATTCTTCAGACCAAAAACAGAGTTTTTATTTATATTCTGAAATGTAAATTCCACGTGACTTTCTCCTTCATATTAGGACCAAAAAGATTATCCATTTGTTAACATTCACAACAATTTTCAGAAAGTTTCCACTAGTTATATAGGCTTTATAATTTATAAATGGCTTCCACATATTTAATTCCAAAAATTAACCTACTAGGGGAAATTTTGTTGTAATATTCATATTTTACATTGTAAGCATTTAGCACACAATTACTTAATAAATATTTATATATTCACTATTTACTAAATAATATTTACTGGATGAATTGAATGAATGAATGAATGATTAAATTTAGTTCAGATTGAAGTGACTCGAGAAGTGGCCAAGCCCGAGTCCCATCTTCTGATTTCTCAGGAAGGCCATGATTAGAAACCTGGAAAACTTTATGTAGTAAGTGGTTTTATCGGTACACACACAACCAAACATGATATGTTCAGTGAAACTTCAGATGTTCACTGTGTGGCTTCTCTGTGGTAATGGTAATAGTTGCAAAGAGTATGGTGCTTTCATGCAGCCTTTTACATCAATCCCCACACATGCATTTGAAACGCATTGCCTCAGGTGATTTGTGTTGCTGGTTGTTACTGAATAAACCTGTACATATGGCATTCAAGAAGAAAAGGAGAAGGTTCTATGCGTAAACAAATTACCTTTATTTCTAGAATTTATGGCTCCTTGCTTGCTTACTTGTTCTCCCTCCCCGCGCCACACAAAAGCTGCTTCATTCCTTTCATGCCCACAAGTATGGGAAATAATGGGCTATCCCCTGATATTTAGTCCTACTTCACAGACGGAAGCCATGTAAGGCTGTTGCCACACTAGAACAACGTTATGCCAAAGTTCAGGTCAGAAACTTGAGATCAGTTACTTCTGTTTTTTATTCCTGTTACCCTTGGCCACTCTGTCTTGCCCTCCTGCCCCTGTCAAAATAAAATCATCTTGTGTTTTGTATTCTTTACCACCATTGATATATTTCCCAGAACTTCCCCCTGTACCTTGTGCAACTGGAATTGGATTTGCAAACCAATTCTCCTTCAGTGCTATTCAAATAACACTCTCCATGCCTTTCTTTGCCTTATTTGAAATGGGTTCTTCTAGAAGGCACTGCTTCCCTGTGAGCCTTCCCCAGGGAAGTTGCTCCTTCTTTCAATTGCCATGTGTCTTGACATGGTGCTTGCGCCATGAGGAAGCATGAAACAGTTTACTTGAAATTCTCCTTTTTATTTATTTTTTTTAGGTTCATGCCATTGGTCCTGCTGTCTAGTTTCTTTGTCATTGTAATCCTACCAATCACTTCTGTTCTTTCATGTGGAGTGCTTTCTAGTTTACTGTTTTCCTCTATGCCACAACCCCTATTAAGAAATTTTGACTATCAAGTGGGTGACTTATCCAGTGTCTTACCATTATCATTCCTTGACTCTCTCAAATGTAGTGGTCTTCTATGGCAGTGTGTGTGTGTGTGTGTGTGTGTGTGTGTGTATGTATTATTTTTTGTTTTTGTCAAATGTGAAATAGCATCCAACTCTAAAATTTTAGATTATTATATTCTAACTCAGCGGTTCTCAACCTGTGGGTCATGACCCCTTTGGTGGTCAAACGACCCTTTCACAGGGGTCGCCTAAGACCATCCTGCATATCAGATATTTACATTACGATTCATAACAGTAGCAACATTACAGTTATGAAGTAGCAACGAAAATAATTTTATGGTTGGGTCACAACATGAGGAACTGTATTTAAAGGGCCAGAAGGTTGAGAACCACTGTTCTAACTAGAGGCCCAATGCACGAAATTTGTGAAAGAGGCTCAGCCCTCACAACCCGGCTGCCTCAACCCTTGCAGCCCGGCTGCCTTGCGGCCCTGGCTGCCTCACGGTCCCTGTGGCCCCTTAACCCCACCCACAGATCATTCTGGAAGGTTGTCTGGAAGGTCGTTCTGAAAGGTCATTCTGCCATCTGGTCTAATTAGCATATTAGCTCTTTATTATGTAGGATCTCTGTCCCAAACCTCCTGCCCTTAAGATTCTCTACACTTTAATTTTGTTTGGTGCCCAGACACTTCACTACTCCTATTTCTTCAAGTTTGTCAGGCCACAGCGGGCTTCATCCTTCACCCTAAAGTCCATGCTACATAGAACATTGATATTCAACCTGTGGTCCATAAACCAGCAACATCTTAGGAACTTGTAAGAAATGCAATTCCCTTGGCCTCCACCCCACATTTATTAAAGTCAGAAACTCTGATAGTGGAGCCCATAGCAATCTGTGTTTTAAAAAGCTCTCCAGTTGATCTGATACCCTTAAAATTTGAGAACCTCTAATATAGAACATTAATTCAACTAGTCTCTTGCCAGCACCCAAAGGTGAATGCATCATTATTTTGTTCCAAAATCCTTCCATGTTTAAGATTTCTAAAAATGTACCAAGTTGTCCAGCTTTATTAAATAAAGTACCCTTTCCATCTACAATCACTACGACCACCTTCACTCCAAATGCACTTTGTAGTTCCTATTTATCTAAATTTGAATACCGTAAAACCATCAAATGCCCACTATTTAATGATACTTCCAAAGGTATTTTCCTGATAATAATCCTCAGTGGAGAATTCTGAGCAATGCTACTGGCTCAAGGTCTCCTATATAAGAAGGGATGGGGCCAAAATTTGAATTCAGGTCTTTGAGTAGAAATCTATGATTTTTGTTTTTCACTGCTGAATTATATAAACCAACAATTGCATTGATATGCCTCTGGTTGAAGCAGTACCTACCAATGGATCTCTATAGAATTTTTAAAAGTGAATTACATAAAAATCTATTATCAAATCACTATGATAAAATCAGGTTAAATAGTTGTTTTTAATTGTAGGACTTTTAAGACCCTTTAATATCTTTGATGTCTACTGATTCCTTTATTTCATCTGCTTTTATCTTCTTTATTTCCTCGTGGTTTTAAACTTTTCCCACTAGATTTGCTCTCCTGCCTTAGGGATGTGTTCAGAGGATTTATTAGCATGCAGTGTTATAGATATAGTGTATATGTATAGATATGCACTACTTCATGTAAAGCTCATAACTTTGTGATGAAATTATAAATATTATAGCATCACAGTACTGTTACATGTACATATCCAATCCAGAATAAGCTGTGTTAAGGTAACAGCCTGCATGGTATTGCTTTCCTGCCTAACCCATGCTGAACGTAAGCATTACAACTTGAATTGAGATAGTGTCTTCCTGCAACTGACATGTGTATTCCTAACACTATTCAGAGGGGCATTTGGGGCTGGATTTTATTTAAGAATCAACCAAAGTTTAAATTGGACATGACTGAGTTATGACGTGAAAGTATACTCACTATTAAACAGTTAACGTATGTAATTGCAGCTCACTGAATAGTAGAAATATAATTTTACTATTCATTTCATGTCATTTTCACTAGAAGGTGGTTAAACCATGGGGAATTGTGTTTAACAGATGTTTCCTGGTGCAGCGTGTTATCTCTCTCTCTCTCTCTTTCATCGTGCAGGTTCTACTGACCTTCTTCTGTGTGTTCCGTGCTCTTCTTGTCCTACTCTGGTCTACTCTGGTATGTTTGCTCAAGGCACTGACTGTTAGTGTTGGGTAATTAAGGGTACTATCCTACAACTGCTCAGAGGTCAGGTTTACTAAAATAGTCTTCATGACCTACGAGAAAAAGGATTTTCCTCCAAGTACTCTGCACAAGGTTTCCTTCTTTTTTTGTGATGTGTGGCTCGCTGGCTCCTCACTGAATCTGTACTCACTGGGGAGGTAGAATGGGAATTTGAACCCTTCTTCTTGGCAGGAAAATCACTTTTAAATATATGTGAGATGAAAACATATTCTCCCACTGTGCAGTCCACGGACTCGATAGCACCATTAAATATATCCCGGAGACACAACATCTCAGAACAATTTCAAATTCATGGACGTGAGGCTAGCCTATGAAGTGAATATATAAACATGAGCAGTTCACAGTATATTCTCTCAAGTATGTCACAGAGAGAAGCAAAGGTTGAGTTTGTTCTTAGCACTCAGAGTCACAGTATTTCAAAATTAGAAAGAACTTAGAACTAGCTACGTCCCTTCCAATATAATGCTGGTCTTTCTCCGCACAACCTCTACCGAATGGTCACCCAGCTTCTACCTACTTTGGCAGCTCATTCAGATTTGTTCTGCTGTGATTGCCCACTGACCCAATAAACAATTTAAAAAACAATTTGTGCAATGCAGCACTGTGCAGTTATCAGAATGTTATTATGTTCATTGCACATGTTTTATAATAAAACAGAACTGTTTTATATTATAGAAAACATGTAAACATTTAAAAATCATCTAATGATCAACAAAAGAGGATTGATTAAAAATGTATAGCAATCTACATAATGGAATATGGATGAGTTTAACTGGGTATATACATATATTTATGCTGACATTAACTGGATAGATCTACCTACCTATATCTATATATATTCTAATGTGGAAAAAAAATTTATATTTTTACATAAAATGTGAGTCACAGTATATTAAATGTAATTTAGTTTTGTTGTATATGACACATAGACACACACAGTTATATATTTACATCTGCACAATACTGTCTAAATGGTTATATACAAAAATTGTCTCAAAAAGCCATGTTCATTGCAGCATTATTTATAATAGCCAAGATAGGAAACAACAGAAATGTTCATCAGTAGATGAATGGGTAAAGTTGACACGTCTTTTGTAAATATGCTACACTACAGACATGTCATTAAGCACATTTTGTTTTGTTTTGTTTTGTTTCTCTCCTACAGGTCTGTGAAACAGGCAGAGATTGCAAGTGGTCCTTAAGGAAATTGCAATTATTCAAATCCTTATGTATAGATCTAATTTTATTTACTATGTGTAATCATTTAAAGAATGGTTATTTTTATAATATCAATAACAAACAAGTACTCTTGTAACCAGGGGGTGCCCTAAGTCAGTAATCAGAGAACACTAACCCTGGCAAAGGATTCTGGGGTGGTCAGCATGCCTGCTGCCTTTTGACATGGTTGGTGCCCTGGGTTTAGATTACTTTATATCTAGCTATTAAGATTACTATTTGATACACTAAATATTGCCTGAGTCAAAAGACTTTGCTTAAAATTTTTCTGTATTTTAACTTGTCTAGGATTTTCTATTTCTTATATTTTTATAATATTTTCTCATTTTTTTAGATTAATAAACATTATACTTACCCACATGTGCCAGGATGTGCCACTTAGGTATCTCTGGGAGTTAGCTGTTCAGTGTCATGACCTGCCCTATACGTTCTGTGCAGAGTGGGGTGCATTCTCCACCACTGATCCTTTCTGCAATTATTGTCCCTGCTCCTAGCAAAACATATAATTGATATGTTAATTCAATAAAGCAGATCAATAAGGAATGAAATGCATGCCCCAACGCATATCAATGAAAACTGTTTGACCATTTATGCAGTTATTGAACCCAACTAAGACTATCCATTTTAAAGTTGATATATGCTTGCTTTTGGACTGTGTTATGCATTGATACAAAGTGAATGGATCTAAGTAATTTATTGGGCATCTCAACTGTTTTATTTAATTGTCTTAACCTAAGTTTTCTTTCTGGACCTTTAAGGCATATGATTAAATGATAAAACTGCCTGTATAACTGTCAAAGAAACAAATGTTAAAGGCCAGAACATGGCTAAAGAATAAAAAAAGAAATTCCTATTGTATGAATGAAGTTATACTCCTAAGTCAAATAATACATTTTCTTACATTAACATTTTCTTGAGCATAGAAACTCATGAGACTGATTTTCATAAAAGTTGTGTTTAATAGGTAGAAACAAATTAAAGGCTTAGAAAACAGTATATTTTTTAGCAGAACAGAGAAAACACAAGAGAGTAAGTTTACAGGACCAGGCCAGTTCTCTATTTAGATATCCTTAACAGGGAGAATATTTCTTTTAAAATGTTTACCTGAGGATCCAAATATTTGTCATATTCATAATAGTGTTTCTTTAAAATGTGTTATCCCTAATGCCTTCATCTGAACTATACTTTCCTCCCACCATCACTTGGTCAGTTTTTGTCATTCTCTTGTCCACTGACCTGTTTCTGGGGACAGTCACCCTACTAAGTGCTACATCAACCTCAGGAATCATATCTACCAGGATATCAAGTATATATTTAAAAAAAAATTCTACCAAAGACAAACAAAGCCAGACACTAATTAAAGTGGCAAGATAGATTTTAATCAGTGATAAACTATTGCAATAGGGAAGAGGGCCCAGCATGAACTGAACTCAACTTCGATTTATGCAGAGGTGACTGGATATTCTGTAGGGTGTGTGAGGGAGTAGGAGTGGGGAATTGCTTGGGCTTGAACAGAGTTGTGGAAATGGACATTTTTAAAAGGGGGTTGTTTCATGTGAAACTCATCTGAGTTCGCCCACTGTTGCTTATTATCAAAGTTTTAGTTCTCTCCTCCCACAGAGACTGGGAAATGGGGTCTGTCTTCAGGTGTTGGCTGAAACAATCAGTAAATCCTTTTGGCAGCCCTGAGCTCTCCCAGACAGGAACTAAAGAGGGCACAAGTCATCTCCTAGGGATGCTGCTTTGAGTTGTTAGAAACTATGTAAGTGTTCGTTCAAGTCTTTTAATGTGACAGTGTGTTGTGGTGGATGAAATTATCTGTACTGAGAATCTGTGGTTTTTACAGGCCAAGTTTCAGGTCTGGTCAAGAAGAGGGCTCAGAAAAGCCAGTCTAGAGCAGTGATCGGCAAACTCATTAGTCAACAGAGCCAAATATCAACAGTACAACGATTAAAATTTCTTTTGAGAGCCAAATTTTTTAAACTTAAACTATATAGGTAGGTACATTGTTATTAACTTAATTAGGGTACTCCTAAGGCTTAGGAAGAGCCACACTCAAGGGGCCAAAGAGCCGCATGTGGCTCGCAAGCCACAGTTTGCCGACCACGGGTCTAGAGTGTTACCAAGGACAGAATCTTTGTCTATGCCAACTAGGCAGGACACACACACAGACAGACACACACACTCCACAACCTTTGCTCTCTCTTCTTTGTCAAGTCCAAAGACAGAGGTTAAATGCAATAAACAACTAGAACCCAAATTAGGAAATTCTTCTAGATTGTTTTCCTATCTCCTGTTTCAAGTGTTATATGTGAAATCAGAATCTGTTAGCACTCATCTGGGCTGCCATTACTCATTTGGCCTCTTTTGCATTTTTTAACAAAGATCCAGAGTCATTTCAATGGTAGGGCTTGAAAACCTCATGAGAAAGAGGGTTCTAGAAATATTCCTCAGATTTTCTATGCAAACATCACTTCTGTAGAGAGATGGCTTTGGCCCGAAGTCATGCCATGGCCTCTGGGTGTCCCTGACTAGTTGTCTCTGACCTTCTAGTCATAGAGGCCAGATCCTCAACTCTCCAGAGCATCACAGTCTAGTGGGGGAAACATACATATGAACAGATGATTTAAATAAAATGTGGTAATGGGCAGTGAGGATGACCTTTATAAGCTAGGTTCTTAGGGGAGCACAAAAGAGCAGTTGTGAACCCATCTGGGGATCTGGACTTGGAAGAGTATGAATTGTGGGGTGGGTGGGAAGTCAAAGAAGGATCCACAGAAAAGATAATGCCTCAGCTGGTTCCGTAAAGATGAGATGAAGTCAATCAGATACGAGGGTTTTAGTGGGAGCAACAGCATGAACCCAGTTTGGAAGTCTGGATCGGCAGAGTGTACATGAGGATGAGAACAAAAGACACCGTGGTATTTATTACTGGAGCACACAGAATATGTTAGGAGGTGGCAGTTGATGGGGCAGAGAAGTGGGTATGAACTGGGCTAGGAAAAATTATATATGGCATTCCGTGGTCTTTAATACAGGTCACTCATCCAAATCACAGATGCTTAAGCCTCTCTGGGATTAAGATGCAGCTGGTTTGAGGTGGACCCCAGTCATCAGTATTTATTTAAAAGCTTTTTACTTGATTCTAATGAATAGCCAAGGATGAAAGCCATTGCCAACGAGAGCAGCTAAATATTTTCCACAGTAGAAAGGAGAGTGACACTGTCTGATGGATAGCTAGGACAGCTCACTCTGGCAGCATGGGGAAAATGACAGAGTAGGAAACACAGGGAATGGGCAAACATGGAAAAACTAGTTAGGAAACTGTTTCAGGAGTTAAAAAATAATAAAGCCTTATTTAGATTTATTAAGGCAAATATGTTAAGAATCTAACTGTGGTTGGGATGCTCTGCAAGGCCAGGAAAATGTTGACCATGGGTGGAGCCTCCAGGGAAGAGACAGGCAAGGACTGCAACTCTCTTCATGTGATGTCACTACCGGATACATTAAGAGACAGAGGAGAGAAATGTCACCTGAGCTGGCTATTGCTTTACCTTCTTTCTTTAGAAAAAGAGGATAGCTCCTCCACAGACCACTGAGAATTTCAAGTCCCCCACCCAGCTGTATCTAACTTATTCAACACACCCACTATGTGTCTAACACTTTATTAGATCGGGGGGCCCAGAAGTATTGGGGCAGATGTGGTTCTTGTATTCATGGAGCTGGTAGCTGGTATGGGCATAACACTTACTATGGAGTTTAAGAGTGTGACACAGGTTGCTAAGGGACCACACCTGAGTAATATCTACCTACATTTCAGATAAGGAATCTTGGGCTGTGGTTAAGCTGTAATCTAAATGAGGGGGGTGATTCAGGTGAAATTGGGGGAAGTCGAGGTAAATTAGGAATGGTAATAGAGAAAGGAGCTGTAGAGTATTTTGAGAGAACAGCATGTGCAAAGATCCAGAGAGATGGATAACATGGCCTATCAGGTGACATGGACAGCTGAGTATTGCTGGAACATAGGGGATGCACAGCATTGTCAGTGATGCAGATGAGAAGTTAGTAGCAGTGGAGCTATTAAGGGTATCATAAGATATATTGCATTCAGGGGCAAGTGAGGCACACCAAAGAGTTTTGAGCAGGTGAATAGTAATATTTCCATTTTAGAAAGGCAATGTTTTGCTTCAGTATAGAAAATGGATCATAAAGGGACAAGACTGGAGACTGGAGAATGACTAGGACACTTCCAGTAATCAACATCAGAGAGAGAGAAGTACTTAGGGGAGAGATTTAGACAGTTGATGATTCAAGATGTGTGGGAGGAGTTGCAGATGGTAAGATTTCTGGCCAACACACCTGGTCGTGAAATACATTTGGAATGAGGGGAAGATGTGACTGGAGTTCAGTTGGGGACATGTCAAATTTAAAGAGGTTGAGAACATAGCCGAGACGTTGAGCCTCATCAACCTAAAAATGGCCCAGTGGAGCATACTAGAAATCAAGGCAGTAGATAGCATCACCCAATGAGAGTGAGTGCAGTGAAAAGAAGAAAGAAGACTCAGGAACACACCAGCACTTAAGGGACTGAAAATATGATTTCAAAAGGAAAGATTTTTATGTACACTAGACAGGGTGGGTGGCCCACACACTGTTTCTAGGAAGCAGAAGGTCAAAATCAGTGCACTTCAAGGTCCCTAGTTCCTGTAAGCACAGCTGGATTTCAGGGGAGAGACAAGCATGGGCTCATTTGTTGAACAACCTTTAGTTGTCTAGTTTAATGAGGCTGTAGAAACTTCCTGTGGGTGGATGGAGTAAAAAGCAGCTATGGGAGTGGGAGGGGAGATCAAGGAACATAGAGTTTTCCTTATTTAGGAAGGAAAACTAAGGCATGCCCGATTTGGGGTCTTTTTAGCGGGTGTGTAGTGACATCCAACTTGAGAATTCCTTTTTCTTTGCCTAATAGCGAAGAAGAGACAACTAAAATCTTTAGGAAACAGCGTAAGAATTAATCCTGCTGCAGCATTTTTATCTTCCATTTTTTTCCCCTCAAACTATTCAAACATAGTTTTGGATGGTTATAAGGAAAATAAGCATTGCCAGCTGCTAGCCTGAAGCTTACGAGGCACTCCCTAGAGGGAGAGGTGGGAGCATCAGTCATCTTCCGGGGTCTGAGGGACAGAGCTGTTCTACTGCAAATCATGGCTTGCCTACACTATAAATGTTTGTTGGTTTTTCAACTTGCATTTGGCTCTCTCACCACTATTCTTTCTGTTTGTTTGTTTTTTTAAATGTCTACGGTGGTTTCTTGTCTCTTTTGAGTCTTTGATGTTTATAGAACCCATCTCCGCAAAGCCAACATAAGTGGATTTGGAATTGAGCAGGAGCTGTGATTTGGCAGCTCTCCTCACTATTATTATAATCATTTAAAATGTGCCTGAAGATCCCTAAGTGCTACGTGCAAGACAACAATGGTAATACGACCCAGTGTCTGAAAAATACAGCAATTTTCTCTCAGAAACTGCCTCGCTAATGGCAGGGGGAGGCAATGGCTTTGAGGTTGTTAGTATACATGATTCTCTCGGGAAATGGTCAACCTATGGTTTAAAAATGGAGCCTCTGAAAGAGCTTGCAACTAACCTGATAGACTTGGCAGTAGCCTCTGCAGTACATTACAGCTGTGTCTGAAGGGCCCTTTA